CCTGGTTCTTCACATTCAAAGATAGTTGCAGCAAAGAATTCCCAATTTGGTTCAATCACTGGTGGAAATGGTTTGGACCCCAACCAGAGATTCTACCTCCAAATGTTCTCATGGGATTTCAAACATACCTAAAAAGAGCAAAGGGGGAAGAATATACAAGACCAATTTTATTCCACATGGAATTCAAAGTGCCATGGATATTTTGCTGGAGTTTCAAAATTCATCAAGAACTAGAAAAACCTCTGCCAGTGTCATTGGTAAGAGAATTCAAAATAAAATGGTGGACTGGATTCAATCAAGAATTTGGCGATCAAACTAATGTGATCAGATTCCTGACCACTGGAGACAAATTAAAGTGGACAGCTACTACCACTACTCAAAAGGAGACAAGACAGTCAACAATCATTCCAACCACTACACCAACTCCACTCACTCCAAAAAGAGACAAAGAAAAGGTGACGGAAATGGCATCCGAAGAAACAGCCAGTAACTTTTTAATAAAGCAAATCATGCAGAATCCCGAGATGCTGAAAGAATATCTGAATTATTTACAAAAGCCAAAAGAAGAAGACAAAATAGAGGAGCCAGCAGGATCATCAGAATCTACTTTTGATCCTTTTGATGACCCCATCGGTGGACAAAATCCAAACGACTTTTGAAAAAGAATGTCGGCCACAACAAATGAAAGCAAAATTGAAATGAAGATGAAATGCAGAACCGAGCCTCTATAAATAGATTCAAGATTCAGAAGACAGGCATCGGCGAAAAAATATCAGAAGTTGTAATAGACTTGTCTTAGTTTTCCTACTACTCCCACTTACTCTTAGTTCTCCTACTATTCCCACTCACTCTAAATAACCATTGTACTCAAAGTCTTTGTAGAAGTGGATTTCATCATTACAATAAAGTCTTCAAGGTTGGAATTCATTACAAGCTTCCGTTAGTCACTCAACAATCAAAAGTAAGTCCAACTACTTATGTTTATTGCATTTCAATACCTGGGAAAGAAGTGGTATCAGAGCCACACCCTTGTTTAATTTGCATACGCATATTTAAACTTTGCATTTACATTTACTTTATTTGAATTACGTTTCTATTTTAACTTGGCTATCTCATGCATTTATGTTACATATTTTATTAAACTTTACTGAAAACGTTGGTAAGACTTGATGCTTTGTTAGACCGTTGGTAAGTCCAGGATAGGATGTTCCAGGCATAGGCTCGGTTGTTCCCGTCTAAGTAAAATTTAATTAAATATTAAGCATGGCTGCATTTCTTAGACAATTAAAAATAGGATCTAATTCAAAGCAAGAAAATGTAGTACAAAGTCATGAATATCATATGCCTATAAACAATTCAGATTGGACAATCCCAGAAGAAAAAATTGAACACATTTATAGAATTGGCCCTTTAGATTTCAAAACTGCTTTATCAGTCAAAACCCATGAAGAAACAATATCTATTCAAGAAGAATATCAAACTATACAATTATTAAATCATAGTACAATTCAAAAATATTTAAGTAAAGGATATCGTTATATTCATATTGGATTAATACAAATTGCTGTAAAGCCCTTATTCCATTTAGGAGTTGATGCTCCAATATACCTAGCTTTAAGAGACACTAGACTCAAAAGATATAAAACATCTTTATTATCAATAATTCAAACTAATGTTTGCAACGGACCAATATATTTTAACTGTACTCCAATTACTTCTCCAATTAGACCCATTCAACAACTGGCAAAATCCCCAGAAAAATCTCAAGGAAATACTTATTTTACAAAGCCATTTACTCAACATATTACTTTAACTAGATTCCAAGAAATACCCATATACTCTACTCTTCATCAAGTTACTCAAAGGATCTTTCCTCCAAAATGCTATTGGCAACCAGATGACCCTTCAAAAAATCTAGATTATTATGAATTAATCCTTACAGATACTCAATCTGTAGAGATTTACCCCATTCCAGATAAAAAGAATCCAAATATTATTAGTCATTCCAAGTGTATTATAAAGAAAGTTTGTTCTCCTAATGAATGGACTTCTCTTTATTCCAAAAAATCCTTTTCAATAAACTTTATTCCCAAGAGATTTAGGGTTTTAGTCAATAACCAAGCAGAGTGTGCGGCGCCGTCTCAATGAATTCTGGTGCAAAACAGAATGTTGCTTCTAGATTGATTTGAACAAAGGGAAATGAGTTCTGAAAGGCCAAGCTTGTCCTTTGTAAATTTGTTATCATCAGAGGCGGAGGAAACAGAATGTGGGATAAAAAATTTTCACCACACAAGCTCTCCAGGACCCAATCGCAATGAAGAGAAAAACACAACAATGGCTTCGGAAGATGGCTTGCCAAAATATCAAGCATGTGCAGCAAAGGTATGAAGTATACTTGTAATGTGATATGACTGGAAGTATTTAAGACATTAATTAACGATGGCAATAAATGTAACTTGAATCTCACAGGCAAGTTGGAGGAGTAGTACGTCAACAGAAACAGTTAGGGAAGTGATTGATAATCTGAATAGTGAACAGAGGATAGCAGTGACCAAATTGGGATTTGGTTCTTTGCTAAACTTGCAAGCTTTGCATGAAGATGGGCAGTTCTTATTTTGGCTGGTTAATAATTTTAATTGCGAATGCCGTACTCTCGATATCCATGGGTGTTGCATCAAAGTTATGACAGAGGATGTAGAGCATGTGTTGGGTTTGTCAGCAAATGGTGTCAACATTGCAGCCTTAGAGAAAGATTGGTATACAAATGATCTGTTGGGACAAGAACTTCACATAACCGTTAAAGACGGAGAAGTTGTCTTGGCTGACCTGAAAAAAAGTCTCTTGTTTATGCAAACTTCAGGGGTAGAGTTCAAAGTGAAGTTCGCACTTCTTGTAATAGGCAAAATTCTGGCTCCTAGAAGTGATATTCTGGTGAAAAGGACCTTCATTCCTTTTTTGCATGAGGTAGAGCTAATAGAGCATATGAATTGGGCTAAGTTCGTTCTTGATGAATTGGTAATTGGAATAAGAAATGCCAAAATGATGAAAGATGAGCAAGTGGATGGCTGTGTTGTCTTTTTGATGGTAAGGAGTCACTTAAATTGCAATTGTAAAATTAGCTTTGGTTTATGTCTAACTTGTTACATAAATGCAGCTATTCTACATGGAGCACTTCTCCATTCATGGCGATGCATATATCCCTTTGCATATCCGTGCAAAACCTCGGATACAATTCTGGGGCAATGATAGACTGCAAAGAAGGATCAGTAGATTAAAACATCTTGGTGTCATGGATGGAATAGAGGTAATTTTTTTTTTTGGCACAAAATTTTGGTGGTTGGATTTTTTCCTTTATTTCATTTTGTTACCAGAAATAAGCATATAAATGAAGGATAATTATATACATTCATTACAGGTTGAGGTAATTGCGGATGATTCTGTTTGTTACACTGCTCAGCATGGGGAAGAAAGTCAAAACTGTAACCTTGGAAAAAGGATGAACGAAGTTGAAGATTCCACCAGGGAGTTGAAAGAGGAATACAAAGAAATTCAGGATTCAATGTGTAACATGGCACAGTCGTTGAAGACAATGCAAGAGCAATAATTAGTGAGATGAAAAGATTTATAGAAAGAGCTGGGGACAAAGAAACGACTGCAATTAGTTTAGGGGAAGGGAATGGAAATGCTGTTAACAGCAAAAATGGCGTGTGCAAGAACTATTTAAGGAAGTACAAGCCAAAATGCAACCCTATTTGTTTTAAAGAGCCTATTGCATGGAATATACTCCCTCAAACAGAAAACCAAGAAAATGATCTAACATCCAGATTTGTTGAATATGAGAGGGATACTTCCATAGATGTGACTTCTCCAGTGAAGGCGGACAATGTGGAGGTAGTAGCTGAAAAGGAAGCCTCACTCAGGGTGTCTTCAATGGATGACAAAATGCCCAGAAAAACTTGCATCAATAAGGCTCTTGGACTTGCAAATCCGGACTCAGAGATGTCTTCCACAGGGTCTGTGAAGGCTAGGCTATTAAATATGACTAGTCAGGGGGTTGTACCAAAGCATAAAATTCAAATCTCCCCAGCGAGCAAGAGACTTTTCAAGAATAAGAATGCTTCTCCAAAGCCTAAAAAGGTAGCTTTTGTTGTGTGTCTTTGACTCAAACAAAGGTTACCTGCATAATTACCGATGATAGTTTAAGGTGATTAGAATTCTACTAAAGTTTCAATTTCAACAGGCCCGATGCTGCAAGAAGAGGAAGCAACCATGCAATGGCGATAATCCAGATTGTCCAATCGAAATAGTACGTAAATAATTATAAAAATGATTTGCATGTTACTGTTTGATATTTATGTCTAAACAAGTGGCTAACCATACTTATTATAGGGAGATAATAGTACTAGAGATGGGGAATTACCACCGGAAACACGTGCAAGACTAATTGATCTGCTTTTTGATAACAGATTGCCAAGATAGTAAGTTTGACTTTGGGTTTTTGTAGTTGATAATTGAAATATTAATTGTATAGATTAATATGTATTATTTATGTAGCACCACTTTAGTATCAATGTTAGGACAGAAGGCTACCCGATCGCAATTGAGGTCTCTTAGGCCTGGCCGTTGGATCCACGCAGAGGTGAAGCCACTCTGATTTTGTCAATATTGGTATTTTGGTATTTAAAAATGGATATGTCAATTAGAAAGGTCTTAGCATGCGGGAGATTTTTTTTATTCTTTTTGCCATAGGTATTGAGTTGTTATAGTGCATTATTAACACTCAGAGGGAGAAGGGATTTGAAAGGCTCCCGGAGAGTTTGGTACCTACCAGCTTACTTAGAGGTGAAAATATTAAGGCTACTCGTTATAAAATTCATCATTGTACCCCTTTTATTTTAATTATAAGAAGTTCTGCTAGATAATGATTTTTTTAATTAAAGACACATAGTATAATACTGCAGCAATTGATTCTTCATGATACTACTCGTCCCGAAGGCATATACGGGAACTATCTAACTGAATCAAGTTTCGGGGGCCCTATCAATGAGTGCGAGAAGGTAAAGCGCATGAGATAACTAGATTGAATTATGATGTCTCAAATTGATTGCTAATTGGACTCTTTTTGGTTAACTTGTGTTAGATTTGTTTACCCATGAACTGGAACAAGGAACATTGGTACTTATGTATCATAGACATAATTAGCCGTCAGGTTTTCATTTGCGACTCTGCACCTGATAGCAATGCTGTTAACAAAGAAAGGGAGAATAATGCCAAGATTGTTGTGAGTGTCAACTAGGTGCTTAATCTTGTTACATTTCCTGTAACTAGAACTACACAATGATTGATGTCTCCAATTAATGATATTTGAGCAGTGTGCAGCAATTGAAGAGGCACTGTCATATGGATTTGGCCATGGACATAAAGGAGATGTGAACAACTACAAATTTACTATGCCTGAAAATTGTCCCAAACAGGGCAATGGGTAGGAGTTATTGTTACTTTACCATAAGACGAATTTATTTAATGTGACTTGATCTGGAAAATTAATTTTTTTTCCTTGTTCAGCAGTGATTGCGGGATTTACATTGCAAAATTCATGGAACATTGTGGTGATGTTAAGTCTGGCTTCAAGTTGCTTTGATGGGGTCATCAAAATTTATTTTGGGTGTTGTTGGTTTTGAATCTGTAGTTAGATTTTGTAATGCATTAGATATTTTATTTAATAAATTATCTGTATTACTTATCTTTTGAGTACTAATACTTTGTACTAAATCTTGTTCTTTTTCTCTTGTCAGACTTCTAGGTTGAAAATGAGGTGCTGATATATCATTTGGGAATTTTAAATCTGGTTTCTTTAGTGTATCAATTTTTGTATTTAATACTTCCATATGTTGAGATATTGTATGAAGAATTTGATTTGTATAATTATTTTGTTGATAAACTTTTTTAAGATCTTCAAGATTTATTAAATTATTTGTACTTGATTCAGCTTCTCTTCCCTTTTTAAAAGGTGAGGCTATTACTTCTCCTTTTCCTAGATTAATTTTTACTTCTTGTAATGGAGGGTGTATTGATGTTAATATTTGATCATCTTTCAATTTCCATTTTTTATATAAATTAGTTTGAACATTTATTTGTGGAATATTATAAACATCACTTATTCCTAATTTTGATGTGTAAAATGTTAACCATGTAAAGAAAGGAAAGTCAAACTTTTGTTTTTCTATTTCTATTTTCCATTCTAATATTAATTTTTCTTTATATTCTGATTCTAATTGAAAAAACCAAATTCTTTTTTCTGTGTTTTCTTCATCATCAAAATCTTCTTGTAAATATTTATGATTTATTTTATATGGTCTATTTATAACATTTATTTCTCCTTGCATTTGAGAATGTGTTGGGGAATAGTCAGATTTATTTTGATTTACAACTTCTGGAATAGGAGTTTTATATTTAAAATTTGATGTACTTTCCATAGGGAAGTTAATTTCAGATGACTCATAATTTGAACGTCTAGCTGGTAACCATGAATAAGATGATTCTGGTCTTTCTCTTAATGATGTAAATCTTATTAAAGTACTTCCATCCGATTTTTCTATAATATCTTCTGCAGTAGTTTGTTCTATATTTCTTGCTACTTGTGGATTTTTAATTTCAAATTCACTAGGTATAGTAATTTCATTCCATTTTAATCTTTTTGGAATATATGTAGTAGGTCGATCTGCATCTACTTGTAATAAAGTTGTTTCGTCTTTAAGAGTTGGAGTCATTATGAATTTTGGATTTAAATGTGAAGATAAAGGTCTATAATATATTCTGTATATTATTGCAAAATTTTTTGTATGTTTTTCAAATTCATTTCCTTGTAGATGAATATCTAGTATAACTGAATTTAATATATGAGGGTCTGTTAAATCTATTGAAAAATTTGGAGCACAGTTAAAATATATTGGTCCGTTGCAAACATTAGTTTGAATCATTGATAATAAAGATGTTTTATATCTTTTGAGTCTAGTGTCTCTTAAAGCTAGGTATATTGGAGCATCAACTCCTAAATGGAATAAGGGCTTTACAGCAATTTGTATTAATCCAATATGAATATAACGATATCCTTTACTTAAATATTTTTGAATTGTACTATGATTTAATAATTGTATAGTTTGATATTCTTCTTGAATAGATATTGTTTCTTCATGGGTTTTGACTGATAAAGCAGTTTTGAAATCTAAAGGGCCAATTCTATAAATGTGTTCAATTTTTTCTTCTGGGATTGTCCAATCTGAATTGTTTATAGGCATATGATATTCATGACTTTGTACTACATTTTCTTGCTTTGAATTAGATCCTATTTTTAATTGTCTAAGAAATGCAGCCATGCTTAATATTTAATTAAATTTTACTTAGACGGGAACAACCGAGCCTATGCCTGGAACATCCTATCCTGGACTTACCAACGGTCTAACAAAGCATCAAGTCTTACCAACGTTTTCAGTAAAGTTTAATAAAATATGTAACATAAATGCATGAGATAGCCAAGTTAAAATAGAAACGTAATTCAAATAAAGTAAATGTAAATGCAAAGTTTACATATACGTATGCAAATTAAACAAGGGTGTGGCTCTGATACCACTTCTTTCCCAGGTATTGAAATGCAATAAACATAAGTAGTTGGACTTACTTTTGATTGTTGAGTGACTAACGGAAGCTTGTAATGAATTCCAACCTTGAAGACTTTATTGTAATGATGAAATCCACTTCTACAAAGACTTTGAGTACAATGGTTATTTAGAGTGAGTGGGAATAGTAGGAGAACTAAGAGTAAGTGGGAGTAGTAGGAAAACTAAGACAAGTCTATTACAACTTCTGATATTTTTTCGCCGATGCCTGTCTTCTGAATCTTGAATCTATTTATAGAGGCTCGGTTCTGCATTTCATCTTCATTTCAATTTTGCTTTCATTTGTTGTGGCCGACATTCTTTTTCAAAAGTCGTTTGGATTTTGTCCACCGATGGGGTCATCAAAAGGATCAAAAGTAGATTCTGATGATCCTGCTGGCTCCTCTATTTTGTCTTCTTCTTTTGGCTTTTGTAAATAATTCGGATATTCTTTCAGCATCTCGGGATTCTGCATGATTTGCTTTATTAAAAAGTTACTGGCTGTTTCTTCGGATGCCATTTCCGTCACCTTTTCTTTGTCTCTTTTTGGAGTGAGTGGAGTTGGTGTAGTGGTTGGAATGATTGTTGACTGTCTTGTCTCCTTTTGAGTAGTGGTAGTAGCTGTCCACTTTAATTTGTCTCCAGTGGTCAGGAATCTGATCACATTAGTTTGATCGCCAAATTCTTGATTGAATCCAGTCCACCATTTTATTTTGAATTCTCTTACCAATGACATTGGCAGAGGTTTTTCTAGTTCTTGATGAATTTTGAAACTCCAGCAAAATATCCATGGCACTTTGAATTCCATGTGGAATAAAATTGGTCTTGTATATTCTTCCCCCTTTGCTCTTTTTAGATATGTTTGAAATCCCATGAGAACATTTGGAGGTAGAATCTCTGGTTGGGGTCCAAACCATTTCCACCAGTGATTGAACCAAATTGGGAATTCTTTGCTGCAACTATCTTTGAATGTGAAGAACCAGGAATGGTTGAATGGTCTAAAAAGGAAAGCACGATACCATGCCATTTTGTAATCTTGATATGTAAATCCATCTGGAATAAAGTTTACTGAAAAGGATTTTTTGGAATAAAGAGAAGTCCATTCATTAGGAGAACAAACTTTCTTTATAATACACTTGGAATGACTAATAATATTTGGATTCTTTTTATCTGGAATGGGGTAAATCTCTACAGATTGAGTATCTGTAAGGATTAATTCATAATAATCTAGATTTTTTGAAGGGTCATCTGGTTGCCAATAGCATTTTGGAGGAAAGATCCTTTGAGTAACTTGATGAAGAGTAGAGTATATGGGTATTTCTTGGAATCTAGTTAAAGTAATATGTTGAGTAAATGGCTTTGTAAAATAAGTATTTCCTTGAGATTTTTCTGGGGATTTTGCCAGTTGTTGAATGGGTCTAATTGGAGAAGTAATTGGAGTAGCAGCCTGACTGTAAGTCAATGCTGGGAAATCTGATAAAAGTTGAAATCTATTTTGAGTTACAGGGGTAAGACTCATCTCATAATCCTGAGGAGTCTTTGGCCGGGAACTTCCTGCTTTTGAATCCATGTTCCTGCAAAATTAATAAACAACATCTTTAAGTTGGTCAGTTAATTGTCTGTTTTGTTCTTGATAGTGCTGAATAAATTCGTTGTGAAGAAAATCTCCACTTCTGCTTAATCTTTGATGAGTAAGAAGTCGAAGGGTGTTTTTCTGAATTTGTCTTTGTAGAATAAAGGCTCTTTCTTTTGGAGTAATGGTTGCATAGGGACTTTTATGAATATATATTTCATCATATTTAGGAATTTGGTAGGCTGGAATAAATTGTCTTCCATTCGGAGTCTGAATGGAATAGACGTATTCTCTGGATAGAATTGATTTTTCTTTATTTTGAAGGCCAGGAGAATCTCGTTGAGTTCTCAAATAATTTGTGTATTCACGATCATTTCTTTGAGCCATCATTGCTGGATCCATGTCCTTGTAGGAATTCTCTGGTTAGAAAATCTGGTAAAGAATTATTTTCTCCTTTAATAAATTCTATATCAAAATCAAATACAGATAAAATAGCTTGCCATCTAGCAAATATTTGTTTTGAAATAATATTTTGAACATCTTTTTGTAGAATTTCTTTTGCAGATTTGCAGTCTATTCTAATTAAAAATTTCTTATTGTATAAGTCATCCTGAAATTTTGATATACACAAAACTATAGATAGAATTTCTTTTTTAATAGTTGAGTAATTCTTTTGAGGATCTGACCAAGTTCCTGAATGAAATCTAACTAATTCTTCTTTTGAATTATCTATTGTTTGTTTTAATATTCCTCCGTATCCTAATTCTGAAGCATCTGTTTCAACTATCATGAATGCTTTAGGATGAGGTAGGCACAAACATGGTAATGATTCTATTTTTGCTTTTAAATATTTTATTTTTTGAGTATGTTCTTCTGTCCAAGGTTTTGGGTTTTTCTTTAATCTATTAAATAATATAGAACATTCTTGTCTTAATTTAGGAAAGAAATCTGCTATATAATTTAAGCATCCTAAAAATCTTTGTAATTGATTTTTCTCTTTTATCTCATCTGGAAATTTAGTAGCGAATTCTAAAGCTCTATTTATTGGCTTTATTGTTCCTTGATATATATTATGTCCTAAAAATCTTATTTTTGTTTGAAATAATTTCATTTTTGGAGCAGAAATAACTAATCCATTTTTCTTAACTATTTTTAGAAATATACTTAAATGTTTAAAATGTTGTTCTAATGATTCTGAAAATATTAATACATCATCTATATAG